AAACGGAAAAACTGTATAAATCTCTCGTTCTCTTTGTTATATTATTGTTTATATGTCTTTTCCATGCAATAAAAATATTAAATGTACTTGAAAATATTTCTTTGCGCAAACCTCAGCGTTCCTTGTAAATCCTTGCGTTCCATTATAGTAATAATAATCTGTAATAAATCTGTCTTGCGAAGACTATGCGAAGAATGATAAGTATTGTTCGTACGTTACGCGTCGGTCTGATTAATATGTTCCACAGATTGTGCATTATTAACTGAAACTCAATCAGGCGACACATCCAATTTAGACTCTATCTCCCTTGCGCAATCTGTCTGATATCTGCGAAACTCACATAAATTTTGTATTTCGACGAGACGACGAGTGTAGAGATGCATCATACATTGAATGTAATTGATATTTCGACGAGTCATATCGACAGGCATATACCTATCGATATGACTCGTTGAAATATTAAGTACATTCAATGTACGATGCATCTCTACTCGTCGTCTCATCGTGATACACTATATCTGTAAGTTTCGCAGATATCAGACAGATTACAAGGGAGATAGAGTGTAGAGTAACACGTGTCGCCTGATTGATTTTTTTTCGATAATGCGCAATTTGTGGAAAATATTGTTCAGAGCGATGCGTTGCGTACGTATAATACTTCTGATCGAACGCCTATAGTCTTCGCAAGAAAGATATGTTTTTCATTATTATTCTCGAAGAAACGTAAGGATTTAGAGGAACATGAGGTTTGCGCAATTAAATGTTACCTTGTATATATTAATTTTTTTTATTGCAGGCACCAAACACATGTATTCGGCGAAATACAACGCGTGGAACGCGAGTGATACATTTTCTTTATTTGTTCTTCACTATTTCCTTGTACTTGTCTGCGTCTGGTAGTATCGCCCCAGCTCCCAGTCCTCGCAATCCTCACCCCACATGAGATAGTCAAGTTCAGCAAAGTATCGTTCTATCTGTTCGTTGATCTGGTTCTCTTCCAACGATTTCAGATACTGCCTCACCTCCATCTCCTCCTGCTCCAACCATTGCCTCTCTCTCCGGCGTCTCTTCCTCATCATACGGTATTCACGATTCCTTTGCTTCCTCGACTTGCGCGGTTCGGTCATCTCCGCTTGCGCCGAAGAATCACTAGTCTGAAAAAAATAATCCATGTCAATCAGCATGATACGAATGATATTGAGTATTTAATTGTGAAAAAGGTAACACGATAACATATATCGTTTCGAATCTGTCGTGTCACTCTTGCGCGTACACGATATTCGCAATATTGCAATGCCCAGCATTGATCGTAGTGCGAATATCATGTACGCGCAACAGTGACACGACAGAGATTCGAAACGATATATGTTATCGTGTACACATTTAGCACGAACAAAGAAAACGGTCCTTACCATTTGTCCTGGGCGAGCTTCTTTCATTGCCAGTTGGCATTTATCCTCAACGAGGATTACATCCTCCTCCTCCGCCTTCCTCTTCTCGGCCATATCGTAAATGCAATCTGTGAAAATAATAAAACAATTAGCGTGAGTCGCTTCAAATGCATTCAATTACATTGCAGGCTGCAGCGAAAACACGATTCAATCATCTCGAATGTCTCTCGTGCGTGCGTTTCTCGAGCGCGTACATGGCATT